TTTAAATAATGTCAAAAATCGAAAAATAGTATAATGGAACTGAGTGTCTGGCATTCTTCGTGTGTATATTATTATAAGTTTAATTTAGTTTTAGAGCGTTTTTAATATTTTATTTAAATGATTACGAACATTTTCATTTTGTTTCCTTACATTCAAGAAAATAAGTTATGAAAAACTTCTAGAATCATGAAATTCATACAATAAAATAAAGAGTTTGGAGGCTATAAAATAAATAGGATAGAACTAAGACAATTTCTAACGTCACATTGATTTGATGTCATTTAAATTATTTCTTCTGAGAATATTTTTTCGTTAAAATGAAGAGTAAGAAAAATAAAACTCATTATCTAGAAAAATAGTGAAGAAATGTGAATTCTATTGATAGTTCTTTTTGCAGACTTGGAAGCATATATTGAAAGGAATAGCTACCATGAGAACAATATCATTGGAATCGAATAGAATAATTTACAGAGTAAATTTATAGTACAGTGTGGAAAATTCCGACTCACCTAAGTCGTAAAATTATAAATCCTTTTCCTAAGAATTCTTGGAAATTGGGAAGGAATCACTACCAAAATCCTATTACTTTATATTTGGATCGAAGTGACAAAAGTTCTCCAGGAAAAATCTAAAAAAAAAGGAATGAAAATGAATGAAGAGACAAAAGAAAAAAGTCTTCTCTTTCCCCTGTATTTCATTCTCTTTAACCAGTTTTTTTTTCTGAAATTTTGAAATGAAGTTATGGCTTACTTTGATTATCTATCATAAAATATATTTTGAATTTATTTTTGAACATTTTTTTTCATACAATATTAACCGAAATTATATGATAAAGAGGGGGGCTTAGTATTATTTTTAGATGATGAGCCTACTCAAAGATCTAGATTAATTAAAGAAAGAGAAGAATGAATAAAAAACATTTATAATATGTTATTTAATAGAATGTTGTTTTATTTCTGCTTTTCAATATGATTTCTTTGTGATTAAAAAAATATATTTCCAATTTTTAATACTGATATTCTAAGTTTTTATAAATTACATATTTATAAATCTTTAATATAAACGTAATTAAAAATAAATACATAATATGAATAAAATGCCCGTATATCATAAAAGTAAATAAATAAAAAGAGCTACACATGTAAATCCCATTGTTATGCTTGACTAATCATAGGAATTTATTTTCTCTGAAAGGAAAATAAGCGAATTATATATAAGGGCTTTGATTAATCGATAAAAATACACATAATATCAAACCTCTATATAACGCCGTCTTAAATAGCGCAGCATCCTATTTAATGCTAATTCCAAAGGTAAACGAACGGTGACATTTATTTTATGTTAATTAATTAAAGTTTCTTCTTATATAACATCAACAAATCGTTTTTGCAACATCCACAAAATGACTGAATAAAAAGTAAGTCAACAAAGTTCACTGTTGCGAGACTGTTTTGATTGAAAACAGATCAAAATTTGAAATGGAAAAGCTTATTGTGATGTAAAATTTACGTTTAATGCCAAAATTTGCTTTACAGTGAGATAATATACTTAATACAAGATAATTGAAGTACATTAAAAGCAATGAAAATAGATTCTTTGTGATGTTCTAAACAGATACAAACTTGTTTAAACTTGAAAATATTCAATTCTGAATGGTTTTTATGCAAATAATGAATGCAAGAATGATATTTTCTTACATTTTTCGAAGCTAAACTACTCATACTTAATATTGAATTAAGTACAAAGAGAAAGATTATTCACTTCCAAGCTATCACCATTCATCGATAAATTCCATTACATAAATTTAAAAAAATATTTTATTTTACTTAAAAAAATGCTTAAAATAACTATATTATTGAACCTTCATCTGCATAATTTAATGTAAAAATTGATAGCATTGTTTATATTATTCATATATTGAAGCCATCAACGTATTGATTTCCCTCCCCACTGTCAAAATTGTATAACGTAAATTCGCAAATTATGCGATTATTTTAATTCTCGGATATATTAGTTTGTTAATATCCTAAGAGATTTCGATATAACATACTAACGTTGGATATTGGCTTATTATCCATAATACGATATCGCAACGATCATTAAAATATGGCAGGAATGGCAGTTTATGATGTCAACAAACCACTCCTGTGGAGTGTTGACGTAAGTTAGATGATCCAATACAATCGTTTCCGTGGCAATAGTGATGTCCTTCTGTGAAGCGGAACAAAATTCAGCAATATAGAAAGAAACGTTGACGTTGAAAGCTGAGAAGAAAGCTTTTACTAGAAAAGACGAATGGCATCTTCAAAAGCTTAAAGGATTTGACATTAAATTGAATCGTTCATCATATGTTTATAATAATATATAATACGAGGAATTAATATTAATTATTCATAAAATTTATATTATATATCCCATTAATAATATTTCTTTAAAAAATCAAATATTTGAGGGTGCTTCAATTTAGAGCCACGCTCTAAATTGAAGTACCTCAAGAAGCTTGAAAGGCACATGATTTGATGATGTCAATGTCATTTACAATACAAAATCGTACTGTACAATACGTTTAGTAATTCATAGGTTACTCTATTTTGACGAGTATTAATTAATTGGCGCTTTACCGGGAGTGACGCTATATCGAGGTTTATCCATTGTAGCGAAGTCTACAGCAAAAACAATGCATTCTCGCGTAATTGTAATGAAGAATTCTAAGAAATCGGAGGCGTTTAAAAAATAATAATATTTTTATTGCCATTGTTAATGAGATTAAAATGAACTCCATTATCACGTTTCCAAAAGTAATTTAGAGATTACCCGTAATTGTAATGATAAGGAAACGTTAAATTATAGTTTTTAAAATATAACAATTAGATATATTAATGTAAAAATTTTCCTCGTTAGATATTATAATAACGTAAATTTCTATGGTTGCATATATGTTGCATGAGGTTACCGGAACGTGGAACCTATGGGATCTTAGGTTAAGGTAACAGTTTAGAACTATTAGCATAATTCTTTGTCTGGGTCAAACTGGTGCGCTTCCAGTAACGTTTTAATAGTACTTTATTGCCGTCTATTGGGTTATTTGTGGCTCAGCATTAAACAAGTTTTTACTTTACTTATGGCTACAGTTTCTACTTCCTGTTAACATTTAAGATTTTCAGTTTACATTCCTCCATAACTTTTAAATGAAATACACGTTTTATATATATATAAAGAAAAAATCTGTCATATAAATCTACAAATTTTTGCTTTAAAAACGTGGTAAATTAATTAATTTTATTGTATTTAAATTGATTAATTAATTTTTAAATTAGCAAGGAAATTTTTTTTCCTCCTTGTTTAACAATTTTTTTTTTTTAAAGAGGGAAATAAATAACATTCATAGCCTTGAAGAAATCTATTCTAATTGATGAGTTACATTAAGTTCAAAATCAATTTTTCGTAAATTTTCTCTTAAATCTTAACCAAAGTGCCACAAGCAATGTAATTAGTCGGATCGATATAAAAATATCTGAGCTATTAGATAACGTTATTTAAATGATCGAGAATTAGAACTTTGTGCTAATTATGTAGTTTCAAATCCTAAGAGACGTTTCTGCCATTCGAAAAGCATAGAAGATTCATTGAAGATAGGAAAAAAAATTCATTTTATTTATTTCTTTTTTTTTTCCTCAAATTAAATTCATTTTTCATATCTTATCAAAATGCAAATTTGCAATTTCTCTATTTAAATTTAAAGCATATAAAAATGTCTTAATTGAGTAAATAAATAAATAAAAAATACAGATTCCTAATTATCTGAGTACAATAAATATTCACGTTACTTCCGAACTAAAATTACATTAAGTTATATTATTTTAAAATGTATAATTAAAATGATTGATTTTGTTTTAAAATTAGGAAAATTGTGTTAAATTTAATATAATTTTTAATAATTATAATAACTCTATTATAAATATTTCTGTCCTTTAAAAAAACATTAAATATATATATATTAATCTATATCTAAGTTATATAATCTAATTGCACCGCATCGTATGCAAAGTTATTATTTTTCTCTCCCTGTTTAAATTGCTATGACCTCCATTTTAAATGTTTTTTTAGCTTCTAGATACTTCAAATATTATTGTATAAGATAAAATTGAGAGCTAAATTGGCTTAAAATAATTTTTTTTGGTGATAAATGTATGGAAGAATCTGATGAAGAAATGACCATGTAGATGATAAAAATTACTTCGGACTGATTAATTAATTAACTTTTTAATAAATTCAATGGTTCCTTTGTTAGTATGTGGAAAGTTATAATGATATTCATAGATATTCTTTTAAATATATTACGTATACATAATTGAAACATAAATTTCGATAACCGATGTCGTGTTTACATCCGCTGTTTCATTGTATATTTATGTATGATCCTATAGAAAAAAAAATTATGATAATTAACGAAGTTAAAGCTTAAAAAGCATTTGATGTATTCTATATTTATTACGTGAAAAAATATAATTGTATACGATTTTTTCTCTTGATAACTTCCGTTCAGTCCTATTGTATTTTCTCTTTGCGTTTTTTTCTTTTGATTTCCTGTAACCATATAATAGGACTACCTCTAACTAAATGTATAATTACAATGAATAATACAATGTTTGAATATTAAAATCAGTTACCTTACAAAATATATAAACGGACAAATCATTTTTTTCCACAAAATATGTATCGTATCGTGTTATTATCTATATTTTATTATCTCGTAATCAATTTGTATTGTTTACAATAGTACATTCAACCCGAACAAAATAATAAAGACATATTTTTAATACAGGAAAACATCAGATAAACTATTGATTAAATAATAAAATTTTATAATATATAAATATAAAAACTATATACCCTTAAGAATATCACGTGAAATTTTCGGAGTGGGGATTTATTTCCCATTCTTCTCGTATAATGTATAGGCGTGTTGCATAAACGATTAAGTTATCTAAACTATACACTATATAAATCATGGATATTAAATAATCTATTAGAAAGGGGAGTAAAGCTATAAAGAAATTTCGATTTGTATCGACTTGCAAATGCATAAACGCATACAATTTTCATTCAAGAGACGTTAAAGCCAGCTGTTCGTTTTGTATCCCCCAGTTGTTGCAGTTAAGCTTACATCCTGTTAGAAGAACCACATCTGTTATCGGACGTACACGTGGACAGAATTGTGACTAGACAAGTCACTAGAGGACTTTGTTGACCCGTTCCTGGATTCCTAATTATCTTAGTCTGAGATCCGGATTCCCAAAGAGGATTGGCAAGCGCTGGAATTATAACTGAGTACTTAAGAAGGATAGGGATATATAAAGTATCTTTATACATTCCGTGTGTTTTTCTCTTCAAATAAATTAAAATTGTAATGAAAGTAGTATTAAAATAATTTAAAGTTTTTAAAGTATAAGATTTATATACGCTATTTAATTTTTTTTATTAACTTGGTATTAATATAAGAGAATTCGAGACACTATAATGTTTATTAATTGCATAAAAATTCGCCATTTTAAAGTAATTTATTGTTAATAAAACAATTATTTTTTTTTATCCTTTATCATTATTTAGTCGGCAATAAATCATTTACTCTACAATTTATTTTAATAACTGAAGATAAAAATTAAATATACTTCATTTATCTTTAATTTAAAACTACGTAAAAAATATCGACATTATCTGATAATTTTAATAAATATTAAATAATTTAATATAATTTAATATTCTTTTCTAGAGTTAAATATACCTTTATATATTAAAATTAACAAAAAAAATCAATATATGCTTAGCTGTGAGTATGAAAAATTGATACGTTCAAGTAAATGATCGCTTAGAATTATAATTTTATTTAAAAATTAATGATAAGGATCAACATCTATCACGAAAAGTATGAAAGAAAAGTGGCTCGTGACAAAAATATTTTTTAAAATTTTAATAATTTAATTAGAAAATTTAATGTGATTTAATGTTTAAAAAATTTCGAAATAAAATAATTTAATATAATTATTCATGGTAATCCCGAAAGAGAGAGAGAGAGAAGTGTCATTTGCAGATGTGACGGTGCCCTGCTTATCGAAAGTAGACATGACACGTTAACAACAATCTTATCAAATGCAGTAGAATACAAATCTACGATATTTACTTTGTGGCTTATAGTAACTTAAATACTTATGCATCTCAAAGGATCTTTTCACTAAAGTTTTAAAAATAATATTGAGGGAAAAAGAAAAAAAAAACTTAGCCTATATCTAGCAAGTGGCAATCGAGTAGCTTTTCACTTTATAAACTTTGTCGGTATTAATTTTCATTTATAAATAAAATAATTTTAATAAAATTTTATTAAATTTAAATTTAATATAATGTATTATTTACTATTATTATTATTTTTTTAATTTTATGTATCGAAAAATAAGAAATAAAAGGTATGAAATTTCTTAAATTAATTTTTCACATTTATTACAAAAATTGTTTTAGCAAATTAAAATTTTTAATTAATTGTACTAAATTTATAAATATTTTAAGATTAAATTATAAATTAAGACATAAATAATCTGGTTTTACATTCTTATTAAAATGTATAATCTACGCATAATAACCTCTGGTCACTTCTGAAAAAAAAAACTAGTTTAGCAATTTCGAAATATTATAATTTTTATTATTAGAAAGACCTTAATTATAACACTCAACGAAATGACAGGTTAGCTCTTTCTTTGGTTATTGCTCTCGAGTACAATGTACGGGGTGTTGCCTTATAATGGCTACGTATACAGTACATTCGCTGTTTTCAGCATGAATTCAAATAATACGATTGCATGATTATACAATGAATATTTACATGAATTATTCTTTTCAGTATTTCGTTATTTTCCAGCATAGATATTTATCTATTTTTTCCCTCCTCCCTTTATATAAAGAGAAGTGAAACGAAACTCCTTTTATTCATACAGAATTTCATGCATTCGTTCTTATCTTTCGATCCATAAAAATTAAAAAAAAAAAAAAGTAATGTTGAGCAATACACGAACCATCCATTATAAGTTTTATAATTATATAGAAATATATCATTTTATTTTTCTACGTTAAGATTTGAAAGAATTTCCAAATATGTTTTTAAAATGGCATTTTTATTTTGTTCTTTTTGCCTTGTAAATTTTATCCTTACAAATATTGATCAAACCATTTCATAATTTAAATGCAAAGAAATGTAAATTGATGATATTGGATTTATTTGAGCCATAAATTTTTCACTTGAATTTTAAAGTATTTAAAATTCAAATAAGCTTTGATATATGATACGATAGATTCTGTGTTAGACATGAATAATTTTGAATTTTTTCCCCTATTTATTATTATTTTTGTGCTGTTTAAATTGTCCTATTTTTTTATACTACATTCTTCGAAAAAATTATAAAAAGTTGTTTATTTAAAAAAACATTTTTATATAATTTTTTAGAAATTTATTCAAGTGATGAAACTGCATTTTTTAAAATTGTAAATAAATAAATTTCTTGTACGGTTTATACTTAAAAATAAACAGTTTATTTATTTATTTTTTAAAATATAGATCCATAGTACTTTTGTTATTTTAAAATCGATTTTTTAAATTGTTTTATATACATATATATTTAGCAAACAGGCTAAGATCGTGGCTACAGGTCGGTTTTTCGGGCCTCAGACTGGGACCCCACACTTTCAAATTTGTAAGAATATTTAATAATAGAATTTTTGATGTTTCGTGAATATATTAATATGGGAAATATTTTAATTAAATTTATATCGATCCTTTTATCTTATGAAAGGCGCCAGCAAATACAGGGACCCACATTGACGGTATTGCAAATATTTTGGGACTCTCCTAATAACTTTCCCTGAGGCCCTGCATGACATCCAGCAGGCCCTACGTGTCTATATATATTTTTACATATATATACATTTTTAATCAAAATATTATACATTTACAGCTCTAGATAGGATTCTTTTCGATATCCAATACTTAATTATGCATTGCTATTTATAAAGATTTATTTATTTATTTATAATAAAGTAAACAATAACTGATTAATTAAATATATATTGTTAAACCCGTTAAAATAACTTATAAGTACAAGAAGGTTAATGAACAAATAAAAAAATGATTGTTGTTTAAAATTACAATATAAACATATTTAAAAAAAATATCTAAAATAGAAGAATCAGATTAAGAATGGTGTACAGATTGAGATGATAAAAGACTTCAATCACGGAATAGATTCCCTAGATAGCAATTTATGTTTCATTGTATTAATGAGAAATTCTGTAGCTTGTAGCCTGGAGGTTTTAATTTCCATGCCTTTTATAAACTACTGCATGGTTTACAAAGAGACGAACAAAATATAAATTATCATCTTATAACAATGATGAAATGCGGCTATCAACTAGGTTGTTTTTTCGATGATTCCCAAGATAAATGCTGTAATTAATGTTTCCTGAAAATTATATTTTAAAAATATTATGATATAAAACACAGACACAGACAAACATACATATATACGTCTCTGTGTGTGTATTTTAATATAATACACAAATATACTGTAATATTTGTTCTTTAAAATACAATAGATAGAACAAATTAATATTTTAGCTTATTTATTTATATATTCTTTATATATTATATATAATAATAATAATACAAAATTACCACATTTCTAAAAAATTACACAATATTTTATTATGGTTTGCTTCTTTAAGCAGATCCAATCTACTTCCTGAAAGTTTTAGTAAGACCCACTACTTGAAAAATTCTCTAACTTCCCTACAGAATATTATTAATGCAATATATAATGTTTTTAAGTTAGAAATCGTGCTTAAGCATTATTATTCATCTTTTCATTTTATTCTTTTATAGTGTTAGTTCAGTCATTACTTTCAGACCACTTTAAACAGGAAAACTTGTGTATTATCTTCCATATGATATACTGTTTCCTATGATTTTTAAATTTCATTCAAAATGAAAAAGAAATAATATATGTGTAACGTGAATATTAAAATAATTATCTTAAGCGTGCTATTATGTACGAGGTGCTTAGAATAGTCATAGATGTGATATAATATAGAAAGAATAGAGATTAAATTACAGTGAAAATAGTTAATCTAATGAGAACATTTTCACACATTTTACTGAATCTTGAAGAAAAGAATAATTTGGAAACTTCTCATAATGTTCTTACTGTTATTTACTTATATTAAACTATCGTTTGTACTTAACAGACCAGAAAACAATAGTAGAATATAAATAAAATTTAAATAGGGGTGGCTCGAAAGTCACTTAACAATTGAATAATTAACACGTAGCTATTCCATACTAGTATTAATTATTCTTAAAATAATCTTAAAATATAATTCGGTTAACTGACTTTTGGGGCACACTCTACATGTATTTTTCCATAAAAGAATATCTATAAATATTTGAAACAATTATAAACTTGTAGACGATTATTATAAATTATTAAAACTTTTATAATTTTAATAAATGACAAAAATATAATAAATTTTTTACATTAAATTAATACACCTCAATTATTTTAGAATTATTATAAAAGGGACAAAATTAATGTATTTTTTTAAAATACAAAGTTAAATATTTATTCACAAATTCTGATTTAATTCTTTTATTTTTATGTAAAATTTCCCTTTGCATTTTACCTTAATAGATATTTAAAAACCTACACTAATGTCATTCTTTAATTATTTATACAAATGAATATTTATGATTTATAAATATTAAATATTAAGTTGTTATTATGCCTTTTAAACGGATAAAATAATAATTATTAATAAATTATAAAGGAAGAAAATCGATAATTTAAATATTTTTCTATTAATTTTATGTATAAAAATATTTTATAATATTAATAATGTTAATTAGAAGAGTTGGAAAGTTGACATCACATAGAAAATATCCAACTTTTGAAGAATACTAAATTAAAACTTAGTTATTTGACTTTTAAAAAAATTTTCTTAAGCGGTTTCTTTATTTATAACAACAAACTGACATGAAAAGCAATAAAAGGCAAGCTCGAATTTTCATCGTTACGTGTAGACACTGATTAAAACTACTCCTTGGCGAATAACGTATCCAGACAACTTATAATTATAAACGGCAGGAGGCTGGTCGTTATTGATGTCGTTTCTTCTCACGCTAACAACAGATAAACTAAGGATTTTTTTTTCCACGAAATCAGACGAATTAACTCAATATTGCTATCTATCAAGCGCGACGATTTTCCACAATGTTTCCTGTAATGTAAGAAGTACATTAAAGCAGGCATGAAGGGTTAATGCGCCCCTCTTTTTTTGTGATAATGGCCTTTATATGCCAGGAGAAAACATCAGAAAAATGAAATTAAATCGAAACTATTTAAGAAGAAAATTATTAAATTATGTTATTTCTAAAATTCGCTTATTCTTCGTTTAAAATAATTAAGAAATTCCCAAATTTCTAAAGTATTTACAATGGGAGTATTAACAGAAATAACAGTATCTTATCCTAAAAGGGCCCATTAGAAAAAAACCCCAAACCAATCTATTATAAGAAAATATTCAATTCCACCCTAAAAAAATCAAAAGTGGTGGCCCTAATTCAAATTTACTGGGCTCCATGAAGCTATAATACCTTTAATATAGACTTGTTATACTAATTATTAATAAGTTATATAAATTCTTACGGATTTCATAAGAAAAATGGCGAATAAAAAAATGATTTTTTCTTATTAATTCCGATAAATTGGGGATTGTTAAATCGATGGTTTAGTGTATTTAAATTATTTTAAAATATAGTATTTTAAAGGAATTTATATATTATTTATTTAAAATATAGGATTAATTTTTAAAAGTTAGTTACTAAGATTTTATATTTTTCCAAAAATTTAGTAAATTATTAACAAAATTTTAATAAANTTTTATAAATATTATAAATATATTTATGTAATAGAACTGTATATAAAAATGTTTTCCAAATATATATATATTTACATTTATTCTTTTTTTTTAAAACATTAAACATCTAAAACTGTGTTCTGTATAAATTTAGGGGAAAATATCTGTAAAATATCTGGAAAAAACAGGGATTTTTCATGAATTAAGTATAGGAAAAGTAGTTCACAAAATCTATTTGTAATAATATTTGGTAAGCAAGAGAATTGGAAAATGTCAGATATTGCTTCAATTGATGGTGTCGATTTTATAAACTCCTGTTTATTTATATTATATTATTATTTAACCTTTGAATTTTTGAATCACTATTCTATTTTGTTCCATTTTCAGTAAATTTACTGAGTTTTATAAATATATCTTGCTCTTTTTATTATCTAGATTTTATATTAATAATATCTTATAATAGACCATTTCAATATAATATTTATTTATATTTTTATAAGAAAAATAATTTTATTCGTTGTATAATAAATAACGATCTTATCATCTAGAATTTAAAAATTTTAAATAATGAATAAAATACGTTTTATCAGGTTTTAAATTCGTTAATTTGATTCCTTATCTTTTATGGTATTTTGGCAATTTCCTGGAATTTAAGGTAAACAATTATAAAATTTTTTTATTAAAATCTGCTCAGGATTATACTGAACGTTAATTTACTTGATACGAAGCTCATTATCGTATTATTTTTTATAATAATGAAAGTTTTAGAGAAAGTTAAGAATGTGCTCGGAGGTTTACACTATAAATGAGAATCGTCGTAGCAAGGTTAACCATAATAAGCACGTATTTAGGGCATCCAGGATCTATGGTAAATCATTACCTGATTTAGCATGGACCCAGTATATGAGCCTTTTAAGTGCTTAGAGCCTCTAAAAGTCTTAATCCAACCCTGACAATAAATTGCTATTTTATTTATCAAAATTCAATTTAAAACATGTTTTATTGATGTTTTAAATTGTTTAAAGTGACGTAAGAATATTATTAAGGTTAATTATTATTATAGTATATTATATTTATTTGTTTAAAAACTATTACTTATGAAACATTAAGGCGAATGTGATTATAACCTAATGAAACATTTATATGTTATGGATATAGTTGATTGTAAGATCAACAGAAAATCTTTATCAATAAAACATCAGAATTTCATTATTTTCTCCAATAATTCTTTTGAGGAACGAGAAATATTTGTGATTTAAATTAAAACAAATTTCCTTCATTCAAACAGGAATTTCTACCTGATTATACAATATCCAACTTTTGAAGAATACTTAATTAAAACTTAGTTATTTGACTTTTAAAAAAATTTTCTTAAGCGGTTTCTTTATTTATAACAACAAACTGACATGAAAAGCAATAAAAGGCAAGCTCGAATTTTCATCGTTACGTGTAGACACTGATTAAAACTACTCCTTGGCGAATAACGTATCCAGACAACTTATAATTATAAACGGCAGGAGGCTGGTCGTTATTGATGTCGTTTCTTCTCACGCTAACAACAGATAAACTAAGGATTTTTTTTTCCACGAAATCAGACGAATTAACTCAATATTGCTATCTATCAAGCGCGACGATTTTCCACAATGTTTCCTGTAATGTAAGAAGTACATTAAAGCAGGCATGAAGGGTTAATGCGCCCCTCTTTTTTTGTGATAATGGCCTTTATATGCCAGGAGAAAACATCAGAAAAATGAAATTAAATCGAAACTATTTAAGAAGAAAAATATTAAATTATGTTATTTCTAAAATTCGCTTATTCTTCGTTTAAAATAATTAAGAAATTCCCAAATTTCTAAAGTATTTACAATGGGAGTATTAACAGAAATAACAGTATCTTATCCTAAAAGGGCCCATTAGAAAAAAACCCCAAACCAATCTATTATAAGAAAATATTCAATTCCACCCTAAAAAAATCAAAAGTGGTGGCCCTAATTCAAATTTACTGGGCTCCATGAAGCTATAATACCTTTAATATAGACTTGTTATACTAATTATTAATAAGTTATATAAATTCTTACGGATTTCATAAGAAAAATGGCGAATAAAAAAATGATTTTTTCTTATTAATTCCGATAAATTGGGGATTGTTAAATCGATGGTTTAGTGTATTTAAATTATTTTAAAATATAGTATTTTAAAGGAATTTATATATTATTTATTTAAAATATAGGATTAATTTTTAAAAGTTAGTTACTAAGATTTTATATTTTTCCAAAAATTTAGTAAATTATTAACAAAATTTTAATAAAAATAAATAAATGTTTATCAGAATATATAAATTATAGACAGAATTATATATTTTTATATCTTTTCCTGTCTTTTATTATATTAAATTTATTAAATAGCATGATATTTTATAAATTTAAATTATTATTCCATAACT